ATAGCTTAAGAGGCATTGGAAACACTTTCTCAGCAACAAGAAGATGTTGTGCAGTATATCCCCCAGCTCCCCTCTTACTGTCTGAGGCTAGGACTGTGCCCCGGAACACTGACAGTCACAGAGGGTCCCAGGTGGCCTGGTTGGCTTGTGATGTGCACCACATGGGTGCTGGACACATCAAACCGCATGGGACCCCATGGCAGACACAGCTCCCCGAGGACTTACCAAACCATGAATCACACCCAAGGCACGAGTCATTGAGTGACTCTGATTTATCTGCGCGGGCCCAACTGACCTTTCATGCACGTCTCTCAGGGTAACTCTGGTTTTTTTTTTTTTAATTTTTTTTTTTTATGATAGTCACACACACACACACAGAGAGAGAGAGGCAGAGACATAGTCAGAGGGAGAAGCAGGCTCCATGCACCGGGAGCCCGACGTGGGATTCGATCCCGGGTCTCCAGGATCGCGCCCTGGGCCAAAGGCAGGCGCCAAACCGCTGCACCACCCAGGGATCCCAACCCACTGGTTTAAAAAGTTGCCAGGTCATTAGTGGTGACCTTGTTCAAGATGCTCTAGGAAACAGCGTCAAGAGTTGCAGAACAGGCCTGAGTCTTGTCCTGGCTTTGTAGCCTCTGGATGCAAGTCTGAACCTAGCAGGTGAGGACCAGGCTTAGGTGTCAGGTGTGCAGCACGGAAGGAGGCAGCCCAGCAACACTCTACCTGATTTTGCTGCAGGCCAGACCACAGTGGGAACCGTGTTTCTAGAGCATTCTGAGCTGTACCAACCACAAATGTGCTAACATACCTCTGTCCACAGCAGCTGTGGGAAGGGGGCCTCTTTGGCCCAGCCTGGCAGCCACATCCCCACCTGTTCCACACTAGTCCTGCAGGTGGGCACTAGGAGTCAGCACAGGGCACTGGGGGGCAGGGGGCATGGACCTGGGGGCTCCCAGCTAGGTGGACAGAGTGCCATGGGGGCCATGCCCCAGGGAGGAGGTGGGAGCGCCAGGGGCTATTGGAAATGGGAGGCTGGGACAACAGTGGGCACCAGGCATGGGCACAGCAGGAGGCGCTGCAGTCTGCCTGGGCTTTTCCCGAGATCTGGTCACTGTCACGCAGGTGATGCCAGACTGGATGGACCCTAGAACCAAGCTAGAGGAACACACACAAGGGAAGCTAGAGGAGGGCTAGCATCATTCCTGCTGACGTCCACCAGCCAAGGCTACCTGGCCAAGCCGAGTCCTCGGATCTTGCCACAACTTCCAAGTACCTTTGGACGAGTTCAGGTTAAAATTCAGCCCTGGGATTTCAGCCACACCAAACCATGTATTAAGTAAATACCCTTCAGGCCACTTTCTTGGTGCAGCCCATCACCCCAGCCGGATGACTCCAGGCTGCATGCTAAGTTGTCTGCCCCTCCCACCCTCACCAGTGTCTTATGGGAGTTGAGGAGATAAAGACTTCTCTACGTTGGGAGCAGGCCTGCTTCTCAAGTGACCCCCATACATCCCATGTTCCCCTGGGGTATAAGCCACTTCATGACAAGGGCATGTCAGTGAATAGTGGTATTTATTTTGGGGGTATGCCTGTGACTTCTGTGGCAGTAGAGTTATGGATGATTCGCGCAGTTGGGTTGAAACCCTGAATGACCCCAAGTCTCATTAGAAAATCACATGCCACCAATTCTGCACAGTACCAGCATGCCCCGGGTGTATGCTGATGATGGGAAGACAAAAACCCTAGAAACCATCATATAAACCTGACAAAAGTGTGAATTCTTAACAGAACCCTGGATTGGAGTTCTCAAAAAACTCCAGGAACATCTTAATTTTAGTTCCTGCATAGCCAGCTTCCGTAAACCCTTAAAACAGTTGTAGGACACTATTAAGCAGTTTTAGATCTTATACTAGAGTCAAAACTCTGTGTCACTGCCTGACATTTGCCCAGAATAATAAAACATTTTGCTATCAAAATCCATCTGTGGCCACCGCGTGCCAGTCGATGACTCCAGCGAATCAGGGAGGCACACGGCGCTGAGTTCCTAGCCAGCACGTGGGTTGCTTCAGCTCCTGGACAAGATTTTCCCACAGAGTGGGCGCACACCTCTGGTCAAGGAGTGCAGGTGTCTGGCAGCCCCCTCGTCTCCCACCTCTTCTCTCCCTCAGCCGTCAGCATTCTGAAATGTTCAATGTATGTAAACCCCTTTAGGGAAATGGTACTGCAAATAGAGACCACGTTCTGCTTTCTGCTGCTGACAGGCCATGGCCTGCAGGATTGCTTCCCACTGACACAGCCCAGCCTCTCCTCAGAACCAATATCTCCAAGCACGTCAGGCCCTCTGAAAACACTTTCAGGGTGTTTCCTTCCCAACCTACCCCCACCCAGCCCCAAATTAATTAATTTCTTTTTTCTTTTTTTGGAAGCATCTGGGAGTGAAACAGTTAAATCACAGACTAGGAAAAAGACAATTTTCCAAGTTTACGCATTATTCAAACAGGAACCAAGATTCCCCTGGGGCTCTGGGTGGTGGGGGGCCCAACTCCAGAAATCCAAACATCTATAACCTTCCAGGGAACAGCAGTAAGTAGATTAAGCTGCCACATCAGCTATGATTGATTTAAAATATTTGGGGCTCTGTTATCACACCAACACAATTTCGTGTAAATGCCTTGAAGAAAAATTTCCTTTCAGTGGATTTGCTCAAGCTGAAGCTTAACTTGACTCGCCAAGCAATGAGCTTTTTATTTTATTCGGAAGATACTAAAGACGATATTTTAAATTTTCAGGTTATGGATTTTTTTTTTAAGAGATTAGTCCTAGAGCTGTGTAGACTCTTACCACCAGGACTCCAGGACCTTTCTTCTTTCTTCAGGGGGGTGCTCTTAGATTGCTGTGCACTGACCTCTCTGGAACTCGAGGCCTGCTGCTCATGGGGCTGGATGTGCACACAAAGCGTGACCACAGTGAACACCGGTTGGTTGCCTTTTTATTCCAATGGCACCGTCATGCGGGGCCAAGGACAATATGACAATTAAGCCTTCAGGTTGATTCTCTTGGGGCCCAGAAAGCAACTTCAAAAACTGGACCCTGAGTGCAATCCTGAATGCTCTGAGCCTTGCCCCACATCAGAATAAAACTACCCCGGGGAGGGGGGTGCCCACTTATGGCATCAGGAAGGGAGACTTGGCTGGGGGGATGGGATGGAGAAGGGCTCAAGGGACCTCTAGGGGATGATGAGATGCTCCATGTCCTGACAGGGGTGCACAGTACATACATCTGTCCAACGCCTCAAACTGTGTCCTGATGCTTGTGCATTTCATTGTATACAATGGGTATCTTAACTTTTTCTTTTAAATTTACGAATCGGGCAGCCCGGGTGGCTCAGCGGTTTAGCGCTGCCTTCAGCCCAGGGCCTGATCCTGGAGACCCAGGATCGAGTCCCACGTCGGGCTCCCTGCATGGAGCCTGCTTCTCCCTCTGACTATGTCTCTGCCTCTCTCTCTGTGTGTCTCTCGTGAATAAATAAAATCTTTAAAAAAAATTATGAATCAAGTCGTTGGACTTTTTGCTTCAGAGACCTCAGTGAAATGATGATGGTGAGGGATTCTGAGCTTACATACCTCTCTGCTCTATGCTCTGTGCTGCATAAAGCCCCCAACGCAGAGTCTCAGCTGGAGGAATGCACAGCACTGAGGAAAAAACAGTCTTTTCTGGGCTTGATGATTCCTTGATTGCCCTTCGACCTGGCCTAGCATGGTGCCTTGTCACCGTGGCTGTGTGGTCTCAGGCAGGTAGGCTCAGAAGACATAAGCTGTTTACTGGCCCAATGTTGGTGCAGAAACATCCTGACCCACACCTGGATTTGGAGAAAGGGAGTTGCCCTGGACTTGAACAATGGTACTCCCTAGGACTTGCTCCATAACTTTGTGTGACCTTGAGCACATCACTTAAGCTCTTCTTGCCTCACCTGGGGAATGTCGGTGACACTCCTGTTACAGTGTTGTTGTGAGGGATACTACGAGCTGAATGTTATGTCCCCCAAAATTCACACTGAAGCCTAAGTCCCCAGCGGGATGATGTTAGGAGGTGGGGTCTTTGGGAGGGGATGAGCTCATGAGGGGGGAGCCCCCATGATGGCATCAGTGTCCTGATAAGGGGACAAGGAGACCAGATCTCTCTCCCTGTCTCCTTGCCACGTGTGGGTGCAGTGGGAAGACAACAGCTGTGAGTGAGGAGGGGCTCCTCCACGGCCACCGGGTAGGCTGGCACTGTGATTGTGGACTTGCAGCCCTCAGGACTGTGAGGAATACATGCTTGTGGTGCAAGCCCCTGCTCTACAGTGCTCTTTAGAGCAGCCCCAGAGGACTCAGACAGACGGTTAAACGAAGCAACAGATAGGAAAGTGCTCACAACAGTGACCGGAACGTGATAGCAATCAATACATGATTGTTGCTGTCAGGACAAAAGTCTCATTAGTATGGAGACGGATTATAAATGTTTAAGAGAGCTTCCCGCTCAGATTTTTAGTTATTTAATAATGCATTCAGTTGGAGAACTCTGGCGCCAGAAGTAAAACAGTGGTAGAAAATGTCCACTGAGGAGGATGTACCCGGAACGGCAAATCACCTAGACCGGCTTCTTTGGAAAGCTTTACCCGTTATTTCTTCTCCAGCTCTCCCTCCCCAGGCAACACAAGGTACTCCACCTCTTGGGAAGGGCGTGGATAAGCCTTTGCATTTGCAAACCTCCCAGGATGGCACCTCCTGCCCCTTCTGCCAGGAGCTTGGGTTCTGGAAAGCCCCACACACCTGGCCACTAGGTGAGGGCTCCTACCGACCTTCTGATGCTCCCTGAAGCACCAACATCTTCTCTTTGTAATGCAGCACAACCTCATGAAACTGGAGACTGAGTTACAGCTGAAGTCAAAGGAAACAACCACCACACCCCTTCTAGCAGCAGCAGGTCACCGCCTCCTGCTGCCCGCCCCAGCACCTTACCTTCATACAGCCAGTCACTGAGGCCGTTGTAAATCACGCCTTCCTTCCCCGTTGAGACCACACGGATGGCCTGCTTCCCGACGTGCGCACAGTAGTAGATATTGTTTTCAAAGATAAATATCTAATTGGGAAGAGAGAAAACATAGTGTTAATGAAGGATGGTATAATGGTTATAAATAAATATATATGGTGCTCTTAAGAAATCTGAAGTTGGTGATGTGGTTTGCTTTTTCCTGGTGCATTTATTTGACAGACCCACGGCGCTATTGGGATCATCTGGGCTCACTCACTTATCTCTATGTTTCTGGTTAATCAGAGACTCCAATGTTACACCGTTTGCCCCATGCTCTCATCTTCCAGGACTGGACAATCTGTGGTCTGATACCTTAGGTACTTCCCTGTCAAACTGCACTATTTTAACCGTTGCATTGTTCCTAGCAATTAAGATTGAGGGACTGAAAAACTGGAAATCTGGCATTTATTCATTCAATATTCACCAAAAATTATTTAGTGGCACCTATTAAGTGCCACTCACAGGAGACAGAGTGATCAATGGAGATCGATGACATATAATGTGCTTTCATTCTATTTAAAATCCGGTAAAGAAGACAAACTTTACCAGGAGAATGTTCTGATGGGGTCAGGTGGAGCAGAAACATCTAACAGGGTTCCCTAACTTAGGTCAAAGAAGTCACTGAGAAAATGGTTCAAAAAACTTTTTTTATTGTGGAAAGATATACATGGCACACAACGTGCCACCATGACCAAGTTTACGCGTATAATCTGGTAGCATTAGGTACATTCTCCTTGTTGTGTCACCATCACCACCACCATCTCCAGAACTTTTCCATCATCTCCAGCCGAGACTCTGTGCCCACGAGACCCTGACCTTCAGCCCTCCGCAGCCCCTGGCACCCTCTGATTCTGCCAACTGTCTCCACGAATCTGATGCTTCTAAGCACCTCATGTAAATGGAATCACACAACATCAGTCGTCCTGCAACTGGCTTTTTCCCTCAGCCTAAAGGTTCACCCACACTGCGGCAAGTGACAGGGTGTGCAGAAAGTGCTGTTCACGCTGAGGTCTTGTGAAGAGCAGGATGGAGATGGGCCGAGAAGCTTGAAGCACATAGGAAATGGCACAGGAGGGAAGCAGAGCCGAGGTGGGCATGGGGTGTCAGTGGGCTCCTCGTGCAGTGTCCCATCAGGGGCAAGGTGGTGGCGGAGGGAGCCCAGGGACGGCAGGGCCTGTCCCCTGTCGTGGAATCCCTCCAGCAGCGGGGAGCTCTAGATGGCAGCCTGAGGAGGGGAGTGGTACGGTGAGATGGGAGGTTTCTGGTGATGAGAAGGCAGTGGGGCTGTGAACAGGGACTGTGTAGCTGGCACCGTCATCTGAGGGTGCTCACAAGGGAGTGGAGGCAGACACCAGCCAGGGGACACCCGGGTGGGCTTCTAACTGCGCTGAGTGAACCCAGGTCTGGCCGAAGGGGTGACACGCGGCAGAGCCGTTCCTGAGACACTGGGTGGTGGTGACCCACTTGTGCAGGAAGGGGATGGTCTCAGACAGTGGTTCTCGAATTCTGATGCCCACCACAATGACTGGGGTGGGGGGGTGCTTAAAAATCCCACTGTCTGGTCTGTGAGCCCAGCCCCATGAGCAGTATCAAGGGGTGAGAGCTGGGAACCAGAATTTTTAAAAAGCATCCCACGTGATTCCAATGTGCGGCCAACATCACGACTCCATGGCCCCAGAAAAACCTCACGTCTTCTGAAACTCTGAGCTAGAAAAGGAGCCGACAACATGCTGGTGCTCTCAGAGGTACCGATCGACTGTGCTCTGCGTTTGTGCCCCTGCAGCCCTGCCTTCTGCACCCGCAGAAGTGGCTTCGGGACACGTTGATGCCCGACTTCCATGGAAACTGAGCTATGTCGACCGGGACCAGGACTCACACCAGGTGTTGATCTCTCAAACAGACTCTAGGAAAAATACTGTTGACGTCATTGAAGAGACCACGGAGAGGAGGTATTTGGCACAGAACAGCAAAGGGTGGGAATGTTAGCTGTTTTTTATCGAAAAAAAAAAAAAAGGCAGTTTCCCCAGGTGGCTCTTGCCAGCGGTAGATTCGAAAGCACCACCAAGTGTCAGTTTTCTGCTCGGGGCTCCGGGTGCTTCAAGCATTCACTTCAACCAAAAACGAGCTGGAAAACTTCCAGACACATAAGTGTACATCCTAATTTAACTTCAGTAGCTGTTCTCAGGAGTTTGCCTAAGGGAAAGATGTATTACTAAACTGTAACTTCTCTTATGTCTTCTAAGCCTATAATAAATTTTTGAACCAAATCAGACTGCAGCCAATTAATATTTTGAGTGAGCATAATTTTCTGTGATAGATAATAAATCTTTTATCACCTTGGTTTTATTTTTAAAGGAAGGAAAATGAAAAGAAACAAGTGTGAAGGAAGGGTGCATTTTGCTCAGGAGACGTTTGACAATCTCCAGATGTTCAGGTGGGGTCGGGGGGTTGGGGGGGGCAGAGCCGAGGGTGGCCACACAGGGGCACGGCAGGCATGGGGGCGAGCGGCTGAGCACCCCACTCTCTGCGCCCTGCTGGGCGTGCAGGTCATCACGGGGTTCCCAGCACCATGTGCCCACCCCAGCCCTCCTCCCCCCCGCCCCCTCTTTCAAGGTGCAGAGACATTAGCTCCCGTCCTGCCTTCTAACTCAGCCTGCTAGGGCTGATGCCACCCTGGTGCCACCTGCAGAGCGCAGATGTCTCTGCTTCCCGTCATCCCCTTCCCCCATTCATCTCACACATTACAGTCCGGATCATCTTTCCTAAAGCACCATCTTTATTACCTCATTGTGTTTCTTGGAACCTGCAGTGGCTTTCAGGTAACTGTGGGATGGAGCTTAAGCACCTGGTCTGGGGTTCAAGGCCCTCCAGGACTCGGGCCCGACAGTCTCCCTATCTCTCCCACTCTGCAGGAGTTATGGCAGTCCGATGACACGCGGGGACACCAGGGGGCAAGGTGGTCCTCAGGGTTTGTGTTTGGAAATGGGAATCCGGATCCTACATAGCGCCAGGCCACACGAGGGGTTCATGCCACCAGGTTGTGGGAGCACAGAGGATGCGCTATGTGACCAGGGTCAGCTGCTGGACTTCCATGTGCCTCAGATTCTTCACCTGTCACTAGACATGGTAATGGGACCCGACCCTGGGTGGATGTGGAGCGCAAGAGGACAAATTTGAAGCACTTAGAGCAGCACCTGATGCAAAGTAGGGCCTCAACAGCATATCAGTTGTGGTCACGGTCATCACCATCAAGACCCATTCTGTCTGGAGGGATGAGGATAGGCTTCACAGAGGAGGTGACATCTGAGCTAGCCTAGCTTTTAATTTTGATCAAGTCCAATTTACCTATTTTTTTCTTTTTTTCTCTAGTAGCTCAGGCTTTTCATGTCACATTTAAGAATGGCCAAATCCAAGGTCATAACCATTTACCCCCATGTTTTCTTCTAAGATTTTTAGAGTTTTACCTCCTACATTTGGGCCTTCGATCCATTTTGGTTTTTGAGTTTTTTGTTTTTGTTTTGCATATGTTGGCCATGCATTTTCCAAATTTTTATAAACAATTCAATTTTAAAAATAATGCTATGGATGAGGCACTGGCCTTGTTTTGAGGATGAAGACACAAGCAGGAGGACAGTAAGTAACTTGACCAACAGCTCGTTGGTCAGTGGTGCAGCAGGGGTTCAAACCAGGTGGCATGAGGATGTGAAATGCCGGGCCCAAGGTCACCAGGGGAAGTCAGAGCTCAGGAACTCAGGCAGATCTGTGCTTTCCTCAGCTATGGCATGCTGCCTCTTTACAGCGATTTGTTAAATAAACAAAAGATGTGATTTCTAACCAGAAATGAACCAGAGACCATGGACACCTGTCTGAGCCGCAGCGAATCCTCACCCTCCCTCTGGCCACTTCTCTCTCCTGCAGAAGAACATGTATGGACGGGGTAGATGTCACGGTGTCACTGTCATCAAGATTCTCCCAGCAGATACAGAAACCATCACATGGTGCCCCCTTACCTGGGCTTATTCAGGTAAGCCTGGGTCTAGTGCTGTATGTCCACTGGACTTGCCGGCCCCGAGGCCCTGCTAGCTCCCAAATCCTATCAGCCCAGGTTCTAGAATCTGTTCCGTCAAGGGGCTGCCAGCCTCTGTCTCAGGATGGCTTTCCCCGCTGTGGGTGCCCGGTCGGCACTGGGCAGATTCTGCACCTGACAGCTACTCCAGGGCCTAAGGCCACTGGATTTCAGTCAGTTGGAAAGGCTGCCGAGCCAACAAAACCTGCCATCACCACTGCGACTCTGCGATCCCAGGCACGGAGCCCTGCCCTTGATTTTTTCTTCCAGAAAGCTTTAAAAAATATACCCCACGGGCAAAGCTTCCAGGTGCTTCCTACTCAAGACCTCCTCTCTCCTCCTCACCCACCTGCCCGAGTCCCGGTCATCCTGGGAGGCTCTGCTGGGCTCTGTTCTCCCGGGAGGCCTCATGTCCGCTGCCCTCACTCTGCCTGCCTCTCCTCACCAACACGCATGTGGCTGCCTGTGGCTTTTGAAAGATGGAGCACAAAATCCAGGCAGAGATGAGGGAGATCAGAAGTGGGGCAGGGTGGGGGCCGCTCTGGGGTATGGCCCTCGGGCCAGTGGCAGCGGCTTCCACGTACAGATGGGAGTGAGACACGTAAACTCTTCCTAGAAGTGACGAACCAGCCCAGACTTGAGGAGGGTCCATCTCCTGTCCTGCCCAGAACTCAGCCACATCAGCTGGTGGAGATGGTGACAGAGAAGCGGCAGGACCCCCGGGGCCCTGAGAGGCAGGAGAGGTACACCCAGAGGGACCTGGCCCTACGAGGGACCCTCTGAAGCACCTGCTGGCCGAGTGGCACCTGTTCCCCCCTGAAGACTCGCTCACCCCCGAGACCTCACCAGTAAAAGCCATGGAGGGAGGGCCGTCAGTGCACAAACCGGTGAGAGCCTATGTTGGTGGCAGATGCTCCAGCAGAACGACTTTTAAAGACTTTCTCTCCCTGTGCACACGGCCTAAGCAGACAGGGCCTTGGTA